CACTCTACCAGCAGAACAAATACATTTTTAGTCAATTAACTGTATCCCCTACAGCTAAAACAGGCTCCAGGTCAGGTCCAAATTCTGTTTGCGTGAATCCACCGGAGGCTACTGAAGCAAAAAACCCACTGCATGCACCATTTGTGGGATTTACACTACAGTACCCCTTTCACAGGTTCAGTAAATAAATGCATGAGGAGTGTGGAGCAAAGGAAAATTCCAGCAAGGCTGGAGCCAGCCAGTGCTTCAAGCTGTAGAGAAATTCTCTCTTGCAGAGGTATTTCTACCCCAGAGAAAGAATTACAATCACAGCACAACTGACTGGTTTGAGATCATAATTCCACTGCACCACAGTAAATATTTTACAGAGAACTGGTTTCCTTACCCCCAGCAGCCAGAGCAAGCCTGTTGGAAGTCCCTGGGTTTCCATCTGCCCAGCACACGGGATCAGACGCTCCCCACGTGCCCCAGAGAGGAGATGGGCACGGGAGGAGCATTTCCAGCTGGGCTGAGCGTGGTGCTCCTCACGTACAGAACCAGGGACGGATCTCACGGCTGGCCTGGAGCCTGCTCAGCCCCACATCACAGCACTGCAAGGCATTTGCTCCAAATGGACAGACAGAAAGTTGCACAGTGCAGGCAAAGGGACAGGGCTGACATCTTTTTCCTGCTGGCTGTGGAAAGGAGATGGTCAGAAATGACCAGTGATGGGATTCACAGCCCAGCTCAGCATGAGAGCTGCTCTGAGCTCTGCTTTTAGCAAACTGGTGATCACAGCCCAACCCAGGGCACCTGTGAGCTCCAGGAGAGCACCCAAACCCACACAGATGTACCAGAGGCAACCAGCACCAGGGCTGAGAGCTCTTCTGGAAGGGGTCAGGGCTGTGGCAAAAAAAAAAAAAATTCAGGAGAACCTGCAGCATTTCCCCAGCCCTGCCCCAAATATGGGCAGTTTTCTCACTGCAGTCATAAGAGTCAGAACCACACAAAAGGAACTCAGCAACCACCACCAAGGGGCTTTCAGCAGAGGCTGAGCTCCTGATAACATTCCTGTCTCTTGCTAATTACCTTTTAGTGATAAACTGTCAAGATATCTGTGTTCCAAAGACTGATCCACCTGCTGATGTGCAGAGCGATGCAGGATAACTGTGTGAGCTGGTGCCTCCTTCCCCCAGGGGATGATTTTTGAGAGCAAATACATCTTTAGAGCTGTGTTGGAAGAGGACAGGGCAGAGCCAGGTGAGGCAGGGAGAGGTGGAGATGGAAGGAAAAGCCAGGATGAAGAGAACTGCACAGTGAAACAAACAGGCTTTGGTATCATTAATCCAGAGGAAATGAACGCAGGTGTCAGACCCAAGGGGACAATCCCTGCCTGGATGTGACACATTCCCTCATTTGAAAGGGACAAAAGGCACTGCCAGGTTCAGGCACGATGCATTCCCACACCTCAGGCATGGAAATGTGCCTTTTGCACCCAAAAAAAGGAGAAGAAAAATGAATAAACCTCTCCCTCTGTTCACATTTTTCTCACATCCCATGACTGAGCTGGAAGTATTTCATGCTGAACTTTCTGCTCTGCCTGGCTCCAGTGGTTGTCTTTAAGCACTGGTTGGTATAAAAATACTTGAAAGCAATGCTCCTCCCTGTCTCCCCCTGCTCCCCCACCTGTGAGACCCAGGAGTGCAGCAAGGAGCAGCCTGTTTGGCTCCATCCATCATCAGCAAAACTGTCAGCTCAGCTCCAGCAGCAAAATCTTTATTACTGGTTATGATGCAGAAGGCAGGAACCACACGGTCTGATTTCCTCAGATCTGAGGCTGAGTTTGCAGAGGCAGCAGTTAGAGGGGAAATAATTTTGACTTTTCCCTGAGCCAATTTGATCTGGAAATTGTTGAGAGCAAATAAATATGGAATCCCACCGTGGAATTTCTGCAGTCACTCTCCAGCTACAACCACTTCTCTTTTTTTTTTTACCTGAGCATCAGTGATTTGTATTTGGCACATGTAAAAAATCAGCTAATCCCCAAAGCCATGCCTGACTGATCAATTACACAACTAATACCTTTTCCAGAGGTCATCTTAAGAGATGAATAATCCCTTCCAAAATTTCCCAACCTGCAGCATGGGGACATTTGTTATTTGGCTTCCTGCAGCTTTCCTGGAAAGGTCAGAGTGCCCCAGCCCTGGGCTGCCCACAGGAACACACAGCAGTGAGTCCCAGACTGTTCTCCAGGTGACCAACGACCTTTAGCAGCAAAAGCTGTGCAATACAGCTGCTCTCTTTTTTCATTTCCAAGAAAACAACTGTTAACTGACCCTGGGCTTGTTTGTAGAGGTGAAGGTACCTGCACACACACGTCAGCCCAGCAGATCCAGCCCAGCCTCACACTCTTTCCTCACTCTGCAAACAGCCCCAGTGCTCCTCACGCCCCAAAGGCTTTCCCAAACAGCAATAAAATGGGAGAGGCCATGGGGCTTTGCACTCTAAACTCTGGTTTTTAAGCAGGGAAGGTCTTGCAGGGCTACAGGAAAGCCATGGCACTGCCTCTGCTTTGGCTGCTCAGAGGTGGTGGGAAGGAATGGACACCAGCTCAGGATTCCTGGCTGGAATTCCTCACACTGGAGAGTCCTGGGGAAAACAGAAAGCTCCAGGCTCTAGGCTGGGCATCACCTCTGGGCATCTTTGGTCATGCACCAGTTTTTCCTCCTGGCTTTCATCTGGCAGGCAGGAGGGGGAAAAACATCCACAAATCCCATCCACACCCACCCTCCCCGTTACAGAGGTGCTGACCTGGGAGGATGGCCTGAGGGAAGGCAGAGAAAAGAACAGAACTCCCAGTGCAAGGACAGCTGGGGACTCTTTCTAGCAAGTTACAGGACTGAAAGTCCTGGAGGAAGGAGGGAAAAGCAACTCAGAGCAGCCAGCACAGCCACCACCTGCCCTGCTGGCATCTCACATCATGTGAGCAATATTTGCTAATCCAAAGGCTGTATCACCACTTCTTCCTTGCAATTCTTTTTTTGCTCCATCTGTTTCTTTTTATGCAGCATTTGTCTTCTAACCTTCCCAGTTTGTTCTCCTCTTGTCTTTTTGATTAACAAAAAGAGACACACCTTATCTCTTCCCCAGGCTGCACCACCCTCCCTTGTTTTGCATGTTCAGCCTCATATCTCAGCACCATATTTGTTTCTCACTCTCTGAATAAATAGAAGCGTAGGCACTTTTAAGAAATAAGGGCTCTGTTTGAAGAGTAATTAGCTGTCAGCATAAAACTAATATTTATGGATTCTCATCCTTGAAAACTCTAACTCTGCTACCCAGCACTGATTATGGCTGTTAGAAACAGATGGGGCTGAATCCATACAGCTTGAAATAATGCTATATTTAAAAAATAATTAACTCCAAATGAAGGGCTGAATGCCACTCGCTTCCCCTAAATTTGATTTTTCAATTTGATTTGTTTGCAGGGAGTGGAAGCTGGGTTGTTCCCGGGCGTGCTGTGCTCCCTGGCACACCTTGGAGGTGGGAATCTGCAGAGACCCGGGCACTGGAACATTCCAAACACCCTGCAGCAGGAGAGGATGGCTGCATCCCTCCTGGGACCATCAAGGAACCCAGCACCCCTGGGTGTGCTGTGCCTGGCAGAGGAATTGGAATTCCACCAGCGGTGCAGCCTTTGTTTTAGTGCCTGACAAAGACAGCGGGAGGGCAGCTTTCAAAACTGTTTTCCAGATGCAGGTTGGAGAGGATGAAAGCCCTCGGTTTGTTATTCCCTGACTTGATTCTCTCTTCAATCCAGCATCGTCGCTGGACGCCTGCACCTCTGCGAGAGCCACAGACCCAGGAAATTTACACTCTGCTTAATTAAACCTGTGCTTTTTAGTTATTGGCACCTCTTCCCAGAGCAGAATTCCCTCCAAGTCGGTTATCCATCAGGGCGAGGGATCCGACAGCCACGATGGAATCCCACACAAACCCGCTTAACTGGGTCACAGCTTGCTCCACGTATGTGTGCCAGGCTGGAGCACGAGCTGGAGGCACGGGGCCAAAGCCTCCCCTCGCCCTGGCGGCCCCCCCAGCTCCCAGGGGTGACAATTCCAGCACCAGCCCCACAGGGACCTGCAGGGACAGAGCCTCCTGCTCCTCCCCGGGTCCTGCATCCCGTCCCTCCATCCCCCTGCACCAGCCAAGTCCTGTCATCTCCTGGTTTTTGTGCAAATCTGACCCCCAGGGATGGAGACTCTTGCACAAGCGAAGACATCTCCCACCAAGCAAGTTTCTTCCCCCCATAACCCTTTTTTCCCTGAATAACCAAACGGAAATTTACATTTCGTTCATTTCAGTGACACCGGGTGAATGGAGGGTGACAGGGACACTCCCCCAGAAAGGGACACCCCAATTCCTGCCACCCTGCTTGGGAAAAGGAGGGAGCAAAGGACCTTGTGTGTGAAATGGGGGTGAGGCCGGGAAGGTGAGGGGTGGGAGCAACATGGCTGTGAGGGGAGGTGACAGAGAATTGAGGGGGGACATGGCTGTGAGGGGAGGTGACAGCTGACTGAGGGGGGACCCAAACCTGAGGGCTGAGGTGGACATGGCCCCGAAAACTGAGGGTGGTCATGGCTGTGAGAGGGGACAAGGGTTGCTGAGGGCAACGTGGCTGTGAGGGGGGCAAGGACTGAGTGAGGGGGAGATGCGGCCGCTGATGGCAGGTGAGGACTGAGGGGACACACACCTGAGGGGAGGGGATGTCTGATGGGGACATGGCTGAGGGGAGGTGGGATCTGAGGGGACATGGCGGAGGGACACACACCTGAGGGGAGGTGAGGTCTGAGGGGACGCACACCTGAGGGCAGCCGATGCTGTGAGGAGGTGAAGCAAGGTGAAGGCCGCCTGAGGGGGCTGTGAGCACTGAGGTGAGGCTGCCTGAGGGGGCTATGGAGGGACTGAGGCAGCCCCGAGCAGGGACTCGGCCGGGAGCGCTGCCTGCGCTCCTCACCCACCTCTTTGATCTTCATCCTGCGGGCGCGGGTCTCGGGGTCCTCTCCGCTCCGCCCGCCCCGCACCGGGTGCCGGAGGCTCCGGCGGAACCGCTCGTAGTCGAAGCGGAACGGGGCCCGCGTCTCCCGGGCCGGGGGCGCGGCGCTGGCGGGCTGGGCTCGGCTCTCGCCGCCCTGCACCTGCTGCCGGGAGCCGGGCGCGGTGCGGGCCGGCGGCCCGGCCATGCGGGCGGCCGTGCGGAGCTTCTCCCGCAGGCGGCGCGGGGCCGCGGGGCTGGCGTGGCGGGGCTCGGCGGCGGCGGGGGGGCTGCGGGGCAGGTCGGTGTCGCGGGTGGAGGAGGAGGAGGCTGAGGACGAGGAGGCGGAGGATGAAGAGGAGGCGGAGGCGGTGGCCCGGCGGGGTAGGAAGAGACGCTTGAAGCGGGAGGAATCGGGCAGGAGGAACAGGGCCCCGAAGCAGAGCGTGAGCAGGCCCGAGAGGAAGAGCAGGAACAGGAACTTCTGCGGCAGCCGCAGCCCCAGCGCCGCCGGCCAGCCCGGCATGCCCGGCAGCTTCCGCAGCACCACCATGGGGCACCGGATCGCGGCCGCCGGGCGGGACCCGCTGCCACGCCGGGGGCTGCCGCTGGCTCCTGCGGCCAAACGCTCAGCGGGGCCCGCCCTGGGCACCACCGGCCGCCTTCACCGGGGACCGCACGTGGGTGGCTCCGGGCCGGGCGGAGCGGCGGTTCAGCGTCCCCCCTGCCGGCATGAAGGCGGCGGCGAGCGCATCCCGCCGGGGCCGGGCGCTGCGGGGCTGGGCTGGGCTGGGCTGCTCCCGGTGCGGGCTCCCGGCCGGACGGTGCTCCGGGGCTGGCTCAGGCAGCGGCGCCGGGGCGGTGCGAGCCCGTCTCTCTAGGCGGCGGTGGGTTCATGCTGCAGCATTTCTGCGGGGCGGGGGGAGACAAGAGCGCAGTCACTCAGCACCGCCGAGGATGCGGCCGGCGAGACGAGCCTTTGTCCCCGGCCGGTCCCCCACCCTCTAGCGGCACTAGTTCGGTTCCCTCTCTCCGGACTTGGCATCAACTCTCCGGTCTGCGAGCAGCTCTGAGCTCTGCACCATCTCCCATCCAGCGCCGGGATGCCGGGCTGTGCTAGCGGGGCAGCCCGGGGGACAAGGGTGAGAACCCTGGGGGGAACGAGGCGCTCTGGGACACCCCAGGAGGGGCAGGGTGCCCTGGGACAGCGCACACAGACAGGGACGGGGCTGCTCCGCTCCTCTGCCAGGAGCTGCCTTCGCCCGCGCCGGGCTGGGGACGATGGGGCTGCAAATCAGCCATGCGGAAAGCTCGGCTCAGGCTGAGCTTCTCCAGGCAAAAAATAGTAATAAAGAAAATTAAATCTACGGGTTTTGTTTTGCCTAATAGATCCCGGTAAATTTCTCCCAAATCTCTGCCTGCTAGTTATCCATATCCCCCCCACAAATCCTCCCCTTGCCGAAGAGCCAGAGCTCAACTTTCAGACCCCGCAAGCCGGCAGGACACGGCTTAAACCCCTACGTGCGATGCCCAAATCGCCCCTTCTCCTGCGGGCAGGGACAGCGCTGCCCCCGAGCGCCGTCACACCCGCTGGGGCGGACGCTCTCGCATCCCCAGCGCTGTTTACTCACCCCTCGGACAAATCCAAGCCTCTCTGGCTCCTACAGCAAGCAAAATCTTCTCAGTCCTGCCCGCTCATCCCAAAAGCGACAGCCCCTCGCTGCTGCCAGCGCTCACGGGTGTCCGCTCAAGTAGGAGAGGGAAGATGCTGCGCTCTCCAGGGGACAGCTCCTCTCCCTGCCCATGCGAGCGCGCACGAGGGAAGCGCCTCACTGCACCGAGCCCCTGGCCAGGCTGGGGTTTTGGCCGCTCCCGTGCCGGGCGCGGGGACCGGCGGGGCAGCGCTGCCCGGTGCCCGCCCGGAGCCCCGCCCGCGCCGCCGCTCACTGCGACAGCGCCCGGCCCCGCCCCCGCCGCGCCCCCTCCCGCCAACGGTCACTCCGCCGCCGCGCCAGCCAATCAGCGAGCAAGGCTCTGCCCGCCCTCGCGCGCTATTGGCTGGTTGTCCACTCCTGCCATCGCCCGTTGGCTGCTGCCCGCGACAGGGAAGCCGTGGGCCCCGCCCCCTTGTTTACCACAGTCGCCCGGCTCGAGCTCGGCGAGGGTTGGCCGCGCCCCTTTCTTCCAGCCTCCGCCTCCCATTGGCTGCGAGGAACGCCCCGTCCGCGCTGCGATTGGCGGAGGGGGGGGCGCCGCTACTTTAAAAAGGGGCTGCGGGCACGCGGCGGCTCCAGAGGCTGTGAGGGCTGGCCTGGCTTGGGTGACGCTGCTGTCACCAATTCCGATCCTCACGCACCGTAAGGGCTCTGAGAGACCGATTTACCCACAGATCCCCCACGAGAGGCTCCCTACCCTGCGGGTGCCACGGCCCTGGTGGCACTGCCTCGCTGCCTGGCACGAGGAGAGGAGCAGGAGTTTTGGAGAAGGGCTGGAGGTGCCTTGGGAACCCCTTTTCTGGTTTATATGAGCCCATGTTCAAGTGCCATGAAACGCTTCTTAATCCCAAATTGTTAAATCCGCACCTTAACCTTCAATTTCTCACCAGGTAAATTGAGTGACCCTGTGAGCTAATACTATACCAGAGGGGAAGATGGTAAATCAGAGTTTCAGCTCATAAATGTTACAAAAAACACCCTCAAACCTGCAGAATTAGCAATGAAAGGGAGAAAAGGGCATCATCTGCAGCCAGAGGCATCTGGAACCCCTCAGGAATAACTGGATGGGGGAAGGGGGCAGGATGAGGCTCCCGGGAAGGGATAAATGCAGCCACCAGAGAACGGCTGTGACTAAACTTGGAAGAGCTAAAAGGGAACATTTTGTAGGCTGGAAAGGAGCTGGAGCTGTGAGGAAAGGAAAGAAATCATCTGCTGTTTGTGTGTGCAGTGTGTGCCTCCTGCACAATAACCAGCACCGCAGGGGACAGATACCTGAGCTGATTGCTGCAGGGCCCACATCTCTGAGAGTCAGAGCCACACTAATATTGTCATTTTCCCATGAAAACAGCTTTAAGGGGCATAAAGCAGGCGGCACAACGGGACTGTGGAGCTGCCCTTGACCTCAGGCTGGCATCCTCCCACTTCACCTTCCCGACAGCTCCACAGCTGCTGCAGATTCAGTCCAAATAAACCCAAACAATCGTGATGCTTTCAGCTCCAGTGGCTGGCCGGCGGACCTTGAAGGTGGCCACCCTCTGAAAAGGATTTGCATCTTGATGGTTTGGGTTTCAAATCACCTTTTTTCCCCCCCCTTCGGTTGGAGGCAGGGCCTGCTGAGGCGTGAAGCAGCTGTGGGCACCACAGCCCACAGGGCACCACAGCCCACAGGGCACCATGGTCACCACAGCCCACAGGGCACCATGACCCACAGGGCACCACGACCCACAGCACCACGGCCACCATGGTCACCACAGCCCACAGCCACCACGGCCACCATGGTCACCACAGCCCACAGGGCACCATGATCACCACAGCCCACAGGGCACCATGGCCACCACAACCCATAGCCACCATGGCCACCACAACCCACAGGGAACCACGGCCACCATGATCACCACGGCCCCCAGGGCACCACGGCCACCACAACCCACAGGGCACCATGGCCACCACAGCCCACAGGGCACCATGGCCACCATGGCCCACAGGGCACCACGGCCACCACAGGGCCCACATGGCCACCATGGCCCACAGGGCACCACAGCCCACAGGGTACCATGGCCACCACAGGGCCCACATAGCCACCATGGCCCAGAGCCGGCCATCCGCCCTGCTGGCCCCCAGGTGAGGCAGAGCCAGGTGGGAGCATGCAGGCCCCAGCCCAGCAGCAGGAGCTCTGTTCCCAGCAGCTGCAGCTGAGGCACAAATGGGGCTGTGGATGTCAGAGGCGCTCCAGGGAGATGGCTCCTTGTTCTGTCAGCCGAGCTTGTTCCCCGGCAGGGAGGGAGGGAGGGAGGGGATCCCTTCCTGTCACGGCTGGCAGCCCCAGCAGGGTTTGTTGTCACTGCCTGCACTTTGTAGTAGCTATCAGCAGAGATTCTGTGTCTGCTCTACACGCTGGGGCTGCCCTGTTCTGGGGACGTGTTCAGATCCCTTTGCACCACAGGGGAGCAAGGCTGCCTTGTTGGGTTGGTTTCCTTTTCCCCCCCCTTTCCTTCCTTTCATTCCCTTCCTTCCTCTGCCTTCTCCTTTCCCCTCTCCACATTTTTCCCTCCCCATCCCTGGCTGTTGGGTTGTTTTCCTTTTCCCCTCCTTCCTTCCTTCCTTTTTCCCCCCTTCCTGGCTCTGCCCCTGAGCCTCTCTCCCTCTGCCTGCTCCATCCTTTCAGGGCTGTGATGCCCAAAGATCCCCAGCTGAGAGCCAGAGAGGCTTTCTGGATCCACGTTCCAGCCCTGGATTCACCCCACAGCCAGAACCAGAAATGTTTTCTGCTCTGAGAGAGGAATAAACACCAAGGATCTCTAAAACATAGTCTGGAGGCTCAAGGGCAATAATTGGGCCAAACTCCTTTGCCCTGGGTGTTATCTATCACTCTGTAGTTTGCTTCCTCACAGAAAGGTGGATATTAAATTCTATTTTTCTTATGCCCATAAAAAAAAAAAAAAGAAAGTAATTTTCTTTAAATTATTTCTTCCAGAGCTGCTAAAAAATCAAGAATCATAATGCAGCAGGACCCCCATTTCCCCAGTAATTACACTCTGCCTCCTAACTCCTTCAGCAGCAATTTCTCAATTTATTTGGCTTCTGTCTGGAATTGCAGTCACGGGCAGAGCTGGGCTCTGTCTTATTATTGCACAGACAAAATTGTTTTTAAAATGTAATTAAACATTTACCTTGAAGACAATGCTTTGTCTTCTTTAAGAAGCATAATATCTTAATTTAACCTAATCTGGAGAACCTTCCAATTCCAAGCTTTTACCTTGAAGACAATGTTATGCCAAACACAAAAAAGCAAAACAAAAAGATTTCCTAATTTAACCTAATTAAAAGATAAGCCTCCAACTTTTCCAGAGCTGCTGCCTGGAATGAGGAGCGAGGCGTAGCCCTTTGCTTTGCTCACAACTGGCTGCTTTATCCTCCCTCTGCTTTGCTCTCTGCTGTTGATTTTTATTTATTATCCTCCTTGATGCCCCCAAATCCTCTTAGGAAGCAGAGCCGTCCAACCTTTCCCATCCTGGGGCCTTCCCTAAGAAGATCAAGGGACCACCACGGGAACAGAGGAGCTTTGCTTTGAGGGGTTGGTTTGGGGTTGTTGTTTTCAATAATGATGAGACAAAACACAGCCTCTCTGCTGGGTGAGGCTTCCCCAGGGAGAGGAGATTTAGGGAAGGTGAAGGATTATTTCTGTTCAGTCTGAGCTGAGCTGTGGGGAGCCCATGGAGCGATGCTCTCTGGCTGGTGCTGGTCCCTGGGGGCTGCCTGAGGTACAAAATGCCAAAATCCATCCGTGCTCAGAGGAGTGGAAGTGGCAGCTGGCTCACAGGGCTGTCCCTGTCCTGAGCAGGGCCAAACCTTCCTTTGGAGCTGCTGCCAGGGGCTGAGAGGAGCCTGGGCAGCATCTGCCAACCTGGCAAGGAGGAGCAGCCCCATCCCTCCCTCAGCAAGCCAAGCTGCACCAAGGGAAATACAGGCTGGACATTGGGAAAAAGGTTTTTATAGAAAGGGTGGTAAAGAACTGGAATGTTCTGCCCAGGAGGTGGTGGAGTCACCATCCCTGGCTGGGTTTATAAAAGGACTGGATGAGGCACTGGGGCCAGGGTCATCATCTGCCTGCTTTGCTTTTCATTCCACATTCCTAGATACAAGATATTAATTATCTGAATTAAGAGTCACACTTAGGGATGCACAGGAGCCTTGCTGAGAATTCCAACAGCTCTGTGCAGGCAGGAGAGAGACATTTGCACGATGTAAACCCCAGCACCTCAGCCAGACTCGTGTTCCATCCCAGAGGAGGGGAAAAAACCCCATTCATATCTGAGATAAGAACCCAATCTGAGTCCCTCACCCCAGAATTGTGTAGGAACAAGCTCTCACAAGAGGAGGAATCTTGCTTAATTATGGTAAAGGTCTACATCTCAGTAATCTTCCCTCCTGTGTGCCAGGGAAAATATCAAAGACGCTGAAAAACAGCACAAAAGCAGAAACACAACATAAGGTGCATGGAGGAGAGAGCAGCAACATTCCCGGTTTATTACTTCCCTGTAACACCAGGTGACTGATGGAGCAGGCTGCAGCTTTTTTTTTTTCCCTGTTTTTCCATCAAAATCTGCATTATCAGAACTCCTGTGCTCCATTTTGCCCTGCTGGAATAAGGAGAGGGCCAGAGGAGTGCTGTGAATGTGGAGCACCAGCCCATTTTAGATGGCTTCAGAAAGAAGATCCCAAGTGGGAAAGGTCTAAGAATAATTCTCAGCCAAAGACTTCACCTGGCAGAAAATGCAGCTCAGGCAAACCAGACCCAAAGATAAATCAGGGGGGAGCTTGGTGAAAGCAAAACAGGCCCAGCTTTTCCCTGGGTGCCCAAACCCCCTTCAGCTGCTTCTGCTGAGCTGCAGCAGCTCCCTGGCCAGCCCTGAGACAAGGAGAGGGCTCTCTGCAGCCCAAAAGAACTGTGCAGTTCAAACTTCACCTTGAGGGTGAAGTCCGTGTGTCCCAACCTGAGGAACAGGTCACCCCAAGCTGCCTGGGATGAATCACTGTCTGCTCTATATTTAAACCCAGCCCGCGGAGGCCACCACCGAGCTGCTGTCACTGTGCCAGTCTGGTGCTCCTGGTGGCATCCTCAGGCAAAACACGTCCTGTGACACAGCCAGAGCCTGGAGGGGCCTCAGCACGGCTCTGAGAGCTCACCCTGCACGTTTCCAGTGCTCCCAGT